TTTTTTTTTTTTTTTTTTTTTGGTACCAGGGACCAAACTTGGGACCTTGCATTTGCGAAGCAGGTGGCAGAGCCACTGAGCTAAATCCATGGCCCTTTTATTCTCTTTTCCACTAAAATATTCCCAGAGTTATGTGCTATTGCTACGAGAAAAGAAATTTATAAAACAATCACAATCTTTATAATTAGATAAAGTAGGGACCACAATGGAGAGAAAATTGAGAAAAGGGAAAATGTCTCAAATTGAAAAAAAAGTGTCACACCAACTAAATCTCAGAAATGAGATTTGGGGAGGACAGAGGTATAAAAAAATGATACTGAAATGTACTTCATTTGTCATGAAGAAGGAAAGAAATATACATTTCCCTCTTACACAATGAACTTTCTGATTTTTACAGGTAAAAAAGCAAAATGGAAGTTAATAAATTATTAGTAAAACAGCCCACATTTTAAGAAGTCTTTTTAAGATCTGCACCAAGAGAACTAAAATCCCATCATGAATTTCCATCAGGGCATGAGAAACAATATAACCTAAAGCAGATTCTATGAATCTCTTAGATCTCATATTGTTTGAGTCGAGACCGCAGATCCTTCTGATGGTCTTCACTGTGCCCCTGAATGCCCCATGGTATTTTTGTAACTACCTTCAAGTCACAGTACTGCCATGGCTGGTTGGTGACCTGCTTATGTCCGGCTGCATATTTCTGATGGACATTGTGTTCCCAAAGCCACAAACATTTATACAGACTGTGCAAGACTTTGCCGCACACAGTTAGGGTATGTGTTTCTAGTCAGTTTTACCAGTGTTACCTTCCTCATTTCGGAGGCAGAGAGCCACAAGGTAATGCTGAAGAGTGGAGGGAAGGGGAGCAGTAGATAGTGGGTTGATCAAGTGAGAAGAGAAAAGGGAGGAAGGTCACACACCCTAGCACCGATTTTCTCCCCTGTGACAGATGCCAGCATGAGAACTCTAGGGGAACAGCACTGTCTTAGGAGGCAGGGGCATCTGGGCCAACTAAGGCACCCGGGGGAGAGGTACTTACAAAAAGAAGGTTTGGAGCCCACAGGAACACTCATAAAACAGTGGAGCAGGCAGTCAGGTCTGGGTGGTGAGCTGTGCTTCTTGCTGGCTTTCTAAAGTCAGGCTCCAGGAGTGAAGGCAGTGGCGGGGAATCGCTGCAGACACACTCCTGATGTCTTGCTTGCATTCGCAGTTGTGTCTGAGTAAACAGCTCTCTGAACTTTGGTACATTTGTGCTGATGTCACTATCAGCTGATTTTACTTTCGTTTCTTAAGTTACTGGTGGCCCCTGACTTTTCAGAAATGAAGAATGTAAACAACTTCTTGCTCCCCAGAATAGCTTACCACACAGGCCAGCTGAGTTTAAGAACTAGATGAGGGTCTTGGTTATGTCACACAGTGGCTCCGGAGAGGAGAGTAGATGCACAACTTGCAGAGCTTCCAGGGATTTAAACTCCCAGATAAACGCAGCCTGACCGCTCCAGCAGGAGGGACCTTCCAGACCTGACCTGCAGGCTCAGCAGTGCAGCACGGGCGACCCGGGTCATTTCCTACTCCCTCTGGGAAGTAGCCAGCTCATCTGTTCCCCTTTTGGAAATAAGCTTTGTAAGCAGGTGTGGTGGCTCACACCTGTAATAATCCCGGCACGCTGAGAGGCTCACGCAGCAGGATTCAAAGTTTGAGCCCAGCCTGGGCAATTGGAAGACTGAGTGAGACCCTGTCTTGAAATAAAAAATAAAAGGTTAGCATGAAGATTAGTGCAAAGGCCCTGGGTTCAATCTCCAGCGCTGCCAAAAACCAAACCAAAACAAAACAAAAAAACTGAACCAGAAACAAAAACCAGCTTTATAATGATGACTGGCTTCTCTGAACACAAAACTGTCTTCTTAGCATTCTCACTAGGGTGTTGAGACCTGTGTTACAGCAGCTGGAACATTGATTTCACTTCAAAATAAGAGCAGAGCAAAGCTTTTATTTGGAGAACGGAGGGACTTGTGAAGTGAACAAAAGTTCAGTATTAAAGATCTGTACCAAAGATCCTGTAGATAGTTTGACCTTGGCAAGCTATAAAACAAAACAAAACAAAACCCCACAATTGTGAAGAGATGGACTATTAGGTGGAGAGCCAAAATTATCCTGGTTTATCTTAGGTGCTTTAATGACCATTTATCTTAACTTTTGTATCTGAACTAACATTCTGAGCCTGTTAGGGTTCCTGCAACTTGTCTCCAGCTTTACTGGAACTCCAGCCTCCACCACCCTAAAGCTAAGAACGCAACGACATCTGAAAATTACAGAAAAGATTTCCCTGCTCCGCCTCTGAGAGCCTCCACCAGTGTAATCTGTAAATGTATTGATTCCTGCTTTTTTGTTCTGTGCCTGTAAAGCTCATGTAGCCTCTCCCATGGTGTAGCATGTAATTCAGGGTAATTTGTATCTGTGTTCTCTGGCCATGGTCACTCATGCTTAATTCAGAATAAACTATTTTCTTATTTCCTGTAAAGCAGAACCATTATTTTTTGTTGACAGACTCTTAGCCAGAGTGTAGGGCCAGGGATTTAGCTCAGTGGTTCTGCTGCCTGCTTTGCAAGCACAAGGGCCCAAATTCAATCCCTGGTACCAAAAACAAAACAAAACAAAACAAAACAAAACAAAAACAGAGTGTAAAAATAGCTTCCTTGGCTGAATCCTTCAGGGTTTTTCTTCTTTTGCCCTTGGCAAAAGAATCTCACTTTCCCACCACACTGGAGATTGCCTTTGCTCCCTGTGCTAGGTTAGAGCTCCTATTTCTTTTATCACATTGTTTTGTTCTTTCTTGATTTATTCAACTTGGGTGGAGTAAGTCTGCAGTAGCTTCCTGAGAAATGGGCCCATCAACGGGAATTTTTTGAAACTTGCAAAACTAAAAATACCTTTATTCTACTCTCAAAATTGATCAAAGTTGGACACAGTGTGGCATTTTAGGATGAACATAATTTTCCTTCCATTTTATCTAGCTTTCCTGTTACTCGTGAAAAGTTTAAAGTCATTCTGCTGACTGGCTTCCACAGTGGCCTCCTTCCTTACTGTCATCCCTGTCAGCTTTTTGCCTTAAAAAAGTTATCTGAGTGATGGTTTGAGAGAAAGTTAAATGTGTGTCCCAATCTGCCACTTTTAACTCTGAAACATTTCTCTCTTACTCTTTATCTTTCCTTTTCGTTTTCACTTCAGGAAGTTCCTTCTTGCCCTCTCATTCATTGGTTTTCTCAGGTAATCCAGCTGACCTGTGGTTGAGCTTGTTTTTGTCAAGCTATTAACTTCCTTTGAACTGCTCACCACCCAAATCTCCACTTAGCCCTGAACTTGACCACATTTTGTTCCAAACAGAACCATTTACTTGGGAGGCTTCAGAGTGCCCTGTTTTGTGGCCCCCTCCTCTGCAGGGAAAGCATTCTGAGCCCCTGGCCCAAAAATCTGGTTGGTGACAGTGGCTCTGCTTTTACAGTGATAGAGCTGCTATCTGGGTCTGGTGCTGGGTGAGGTGGTAGCCTCGGGCCTTTTCAACTGGGCAGTTCAAAAAGGGGACCATGGTCCTGTGACAAAGTGGGGCAGGGGTAACAGGCTTCTCTACTCTGCTATAGGGTGAGGAAGTTGAGTCCCCAGGCTTCATGGCTGCACTTGCTTGGAATTTAGCCTCTGCAACACGAGAAAGAAAGGTGGATGGGACTGTTGGTGGCCTCTCCCCACCTGGGTGATGTCATTACCCTTGAATGGGAGCTAAGAGGACTGTCCTGGTGTCTGCTGCTCCCTCCCCGAGTGTCCTCCATGGAACTGGGGTGAAGGGAGTGAGTAACTCACAGCTTCAGTGCCTCAAACCCTTCCCTGTTCTTTCCAGGACTTCCTAAAGTGTTATTGAATGAATGGCTCTTCATTTGATGGAGGAGATTAGGACAGTTTCTAGAGACTCAATTAGTTTTTCTAAAATAATTTTGTTAGTTTTATTTTTTTCACTGAAGAGTGGGTGGGGAACCTGCTGTTCTAGAACTGGATCTCTGTTCATTTGTTAATTTTTATATTTTTAAAAATTAAAGACTTCATTTTTAAGAGCAGCTTTAACTTTACAGCAAAATGAAAGTATAAAGAATTTCCCATCTAACCTCTACCTATACTCAACGTCACCCAGGTTCTCTCCTATGTTGTCTTCTAGGAGTTTTATAGTTTTGCATTTTAAATCTATGGTCTCACTTGAGTGGGTGAATTATCTACATATTTGTCTAAGGTCTGTGTAGATTTGCCTTTTTGCATATGGATATTCATTTTCTCCATTGCTGTTTGTTGAAGTGACTGCTGATAAATTCCATGTATTGATGTTGCTCTCTTATCAAGGATCAGTTGATTATATTTGTGTGGGTCTATTTCTAGCTCTCTATTCTGTTCCATGATCTATTTTTCTATATTTTGCTAATACCATACTCTGTTGATTACTGCAGCTTTATAGTATGTCTTAAAGTTGGGTAGTGTCAATCCTTGTTTTTCTTTTCTTTCAATATTGTGTTGGCTATTTTGGATGAAATATAAAATTTTAAATCAGCTTGTTAATATCCACAAAATGATTTGCTGAGATTTTGATTGGAACTGATTTATAATTCAAGTTGGGAAGAGATGATATCTTGACAATATTGAGCCTTTCTGTTCATGAACATGGACCATCTATCACTTTATTTACTTCTTTTTTTGATAGAGGCTTATAACTTTCCACATACAGATCTTGACAGATTTTGTTAGATTTATATTAAGTATTTTATTGTTTTGGTGTTAATGTCAATGATATGCCAATTTCAAACTCCAGTTGTTCATTGTTGGTACTGTATGTGAGATAATAATTTACTTTGATATATTAACTGTTGGTCAGTTTTCTATTGCTGTGGCAAGTGCCTGAGAAAATCAATTTCATTGAGAAGATTTATTTTGGCTCATGGTTTTGGAGGCTTTGGTCCATGGTCATTTAGCTGTGTTGCCTTTGGGCCTGTGGTGATGCAGATCATCATAGTGGGCAGTGCTCACTTCATAACAGCCAGGAGGGAAGAGAGGTGAAAGGGGTCAGGTCCCAGTATCCCCAAAGGCACACCCCAGTGACCCAACTTACTGTCCTTAGGACTCTACTCCTAGGGTTTCCATCATCCCTCCCAATAGTTCTTTCCTGAAGACCAAGCCTTTAAAAATAATGGCCCTTGGGGAGAATTTAAGACCTAAACCATGACCTGAACTGTATGCCTTATAATCTTGTATCATCACCTGTTACTTCCAGAAAGTTTTGTTGCTCTTTGGGATTTTCTACATAGGCAAGTATGTTATTGGTGAACAAATGCAGCTGTATTTTTTCCTTCACAAGCTGTGTATCTTTTATTTCCTTGTCTGATTGAATTAGTTAAGACTTCCAGTATGATGTTGAGTGAGAATGGTGAGAATGGACATCCTGGTCTCCTTGATTCTTATCTTAGTAGGAAAGAATCTATAGTTTTGTGTTTTTTTTTTTTAGATTTTAAAAACCAACTTGAAATTTCTCTCCATTTCTCATTTGATGTGACTTTGTCTTACTATGAATGGGATAAGATTTTGCCAAATACAATTTCTTTGAGAAATTTGTTACATATTCTTTGAGAATTGATTTCTCTTTAATCTTAGAAAATTTTTCTTGCTCTGAAGTCTGCTTTGCCTGAAATATAGCTACTCCAGCTTTCTTTTAGTTAGAGAAGTTAGACGTGGTATATCTTTCTTCATCCCTTTAAATCTTTATATTTAAACTATATCTTGTCAAGGAACAGCTTATCTTTTTATCCTGATAATCTCCTGTTTTATACTTGCAGTATTTAGACTATTAACTTTAAAAAGTGATTATTAATGTGGTTAGAATTAATAGCTACTGTATTTGTTATTCTTTTCTCTCCATTGTCTCTTGGTTATTTATTTCTCATCTTGTCTTCTCCTTTTGTGCCTTCTCGTTTTGACTTTTTGTACAATTTTTGTCTTTTAGCGTATCAATAATACTTTTTTCATCCTTTATTATAGTATAACTTACAACAAATTCAAGTTTTCTTTCAAATACTATACCATTTACTTCCTGGATAATGCAAGTGTTTCATAACAGATTTAGTATAGCATTTGCATTTCCTCCGTCTTATCCTTTGCAACATTGCTGCTATTCATTTCATTTATCTATAAGCTATATTATCCGAATATGTTATACTATTACCATCTTGAACAAACTATTATCTATTTGACCATCTAAGAAAAATAAAAGACTTTACCTGGCAAAGGTGGCACATGCCTGTAATCATAGCATTCTGAAGACAGAGGCAAGAGGCTTGTGAGTTTGAAGCTAGCCTGATGAATAATGAGATTCTGTCCCAAAGGACAACCACGCTAAACCAAGCCAAACCAAACTAAATCAAGCCAAACCAAGACCTGTCATGTAAAGGTACAAGATCCCAATAATGAATGTAACTGTACTGTATACCTAAAATGTACCAATAAACTCAATGAAAAGAAAAAAAAAAAGCCAAACCAAACCAAACCATTCCTTCTCTGTTGCTCTTCCTTTACATACAAGTTTTTTATCCTTCTTTCAGAAGAACTTTAAACATTTTTTCCTAAGGAAACTCTACTAGTTAAAAAATTTCCTCAATGTTTGTCTAAGAAAATTTCTCTGTACCTTTAAAGTACAGTCACTGGATACAGAATTTTAGGTTAGTGGTTGTGATGAACTAATGTGTATCACAAAATTCCCATTGTGAAATTGTGCCCCCCAGTGTGGTCGTGTTAGGAGGTGAAGCCTTTGGAATATAATTAGGTCAGGAGGATAGAGTCCTCATGAATGAGGTTAGTGCTAGTATAAGGGGAGATACGAATACTTGCTGTCCTTGCCACATGAGGATATAAGAAGAAGATAGCTAGCTGCAAACAAAATGAATATCCTTGCTAGGCACTATGTTGGTGTCTTGATCTTGGATTTCTCAGCATTCAGAATTTTTGTTAAGATACCCACTCTACGGAATTTTGTTACAGAAGCCTGAAGTAAGTGCCTCTTTTAACACTTTACATATGTTTTTCCCACTGTCTTCTTGGTTACATGGTTTCTGAAAAGTCAGATATAATTGTTACCTTGCTCAGCTATATGTAAAATGTACCCCCATGTATCCTTTAAAACATTTTTTTTTTGAGATAAGGTCTATGTATTTCAGTTTGGCCTTGACCTCATTATGAAGATCGAACTCAGCAATTCTCCTACCCCACCTCCTGAGTGCAGAGATTAGAGGTGTGCACTACCACACCTGGCTGTTTTTTTTTTTTTCTTTGATTTTCTTGAGTTTTATATGACATGTAGGATTTTTGGTATTTATGGTTCTTGGTGTTCTTGGGGCTTTTTGGATCTGTGGCTTAGTGTCTAATTTTGGAAAATTTTCAGTTATTGCTTTAACTTTTTAAACTTTTGATAAACCCATTGTACACGTTTTTACCTTTTATAATTGTCTTGCTGACTTTGGTTATTATAATTGTTATAGTTATTTTTTCATGCTAATGCTAGGCAAGTGCTCTATCATTGAAACACAGCCCTAGTCCCAAAGGGTTAAACTTTAAGGATATTTTAAAGAAACAGTACCTTGTTACATAACCCAGGCTAGCCTCAAGTTCAGGATCTTTCTGCGAAGGAAAATTATGTATTTTTCAATCTTTTTTCTCTTTACACATATATTTTCCAGTTCCTATTTATATTTCTTTAAGCTTGTTATTTCATCATTTGTGTCCAATCTATCGATGATCTCATCATTCCTTTTATGACAGTGTTTTAAAATTTTTAGCATCGCCTTTCATTTCTTAAGTTTACAATTTTCTTGTTTATATCACACATCTCTATTTGCATGTTGTCTACTTATCCCACTAGGACTCTCACCATAGTAATCACCATTCTTTAAATTCCTCAGGGGGTCTACAGAAGATTTCCTAGTGAAGGTAGTGCTTGTGTTTCGTCTTAAAGGAGAGGCTTGCCAGAGAATCTGCTAGGCGGCGAGGATGCCAGGGAGAGACAGAATGAATGGACTTGTGAGAGTGGCATTCTCAGAACACTGACAGTAAACTACAACGTGAAATGCAGAGTGGGAAAATGGCGTCCATAGCTCCCTACTCTAGTAGGTAAAGCATCAAATAAAGTACAAAGGGAGCGATTATGGTTGAAGACCAAGGTAAAATTGCTAAGGAAATATCTACATACACCTTAACCTTCCAAGAAGCTGGCTTATTTTTCTATTTTATTGTTTGCAAAGGTATTCAACTCAATAGCTGACAGCCTGAAACTCTCCGGCAGCTGAAGATTAAGTGATATTTCACTGAATTAAAAATCAAGATTTTTCCCCTGATCTATAAGAATAAAGACAAATCATGTTTTGGGAGTTTTTACTCCATCATGATATCAGCTACAACACATACTATGGCCCAGAATATTCTCCTACCTCTTTACTTGAGCACCTCTGGCAGAGGGCATCCCAAGAGGGAGCAGATCTGCCTCTGCCCCACACAGTCACCGATGATGAGAATTTTAGAAAGAGAGAATGAATATTCATTTTGGGATTAAAAAGTTGGAGGCTCTGCTAAGGACAGGATACTTGGCCCTGAAGAGTGATCTCTTTTATTCAGAAGATAGCTCTTTCTTACTAGGTATTAAAGATTCCTGAGGAAATTTATTGGCTAAGAATGTTTAAAACACAATCTTTACCACTTTTACAAAGTAACATGCTGTCCTAAAGCTTTCCTTGGTTGCTGGAGATACTGTTGACAGATGAGCACTCTCAGATCCTCCTGTTCCACCTGGCCTTGATCAGCATCGTGGCTGCATCTCCAATCTCCCTCACCTGCCCGGCCCTCATTCTCCTTAGCTGCATCCTGCAGCCCTGACCACCCATCCCGACTTACTTGGTGACAGACCTGTTTTTCTGCACATCCTTCAGGACCCCCCTCACCACTGCCTAAAGAATGAAACATGTGGTGCTGGGCTTGCTTCAGGGTCCACAGAAATAAACGCTGGCAATGTCCATTTGTCAGCTCTGACAGAAGCTGTATATCTCATCTTTGATATCTCTGCTTCATTCTGAGAGTCAAAATGACTTTTACACCATAATCTATGAATTTCATTACCATTATGTGCCACACTTTGGTCTGTGCAAGTAGCACCTTTTAATATATGGTTTTTCTTTATTGGTTGGAGGTGTACAACTTAGTACTTTACTCTGCATAGTATCATTCTATAATCATTTTAGTCACATGTGCTTTATATGAACAATTACAAGATATTCTTCTAGTGGGGAGAAATGTCTCTTACATCATCAGTGGTTCCTGGTACACCAACCATATAGCAGAAACTTGGGAAATGGTATTTGTTGACCGATTCATTCAGTAAGGAGCTTAAAATGCATGGTAGTATGTGTCCTTCTTCCCTTTAACTCTTAAGTCTTTTGGTGTTTGCGTAAGTAATTTTGGAAAAAATCAAATGTCCATTTTTTTCCATATTGACAAAATTAAATATAATATGGAAGTGCTTTATATTTTTTCTGGACCTCTTTTAAATTTCTGAAAGATGTTTCCACTAAAGAAGCTGGGATTCTAGAATCTGTAGTTTAGTGTTTGCATGTGTGTGAAGGGGAGGTACAGGAAAGAAAGGGCTTTTCTTTTTACTATGTCACCATGTGTTGTTTTTCAGTCTTCAGAGAAGCATACAGCCAAACTAATTGTCCCTTTGGAACCTCCGATGGAAGGCGAGATGTCCATCCTTCTTATTTGCATGCTCGCCCTTATTTTTAGTTAGATGAGGAACTACCTGCATAGGTCTCTGCAAGTTGTATTCTTCAGCTGGAAGACTCTTATCTTTTAGAATATTGGCATCCATCTCAAAACTTGGGGAAGCAGTCTCCCATTTGCTGCTGAGAGATTCTATGTCTTCAGTTTTTGTGGCCTGAGTTTGAGAAAAGTTTTTCCTCTTGTAGCCTTTGAAAGGTGAAAAATTTCCCGGTGGCCTCCGGGGCACACACTGGAGCCAGTCTGAGGTGTTTGTCATAAGACTCTTTGGAGTAATGAAAGGGGGATTTCTTGGTGTCCAAGATGTGCTGTATCTCTTTATATTTATGCAAGAAGCTTGCTTTAGTCTAGAAAAGAAATGAAAAATATGAGTTTTTACCCTTCATGTATCTACTTTATAGTCTAAGGTATCTACTGTGATAGCACAAATCAGACATTCTTTGTCCTTAATACTTTAACCATCATCTTTATATGAACGAACCGGTCTTCATCTCTCATCACAGTCTTCAGCACTGTCTCAATCCTGTATTTCCAAATGCCTGGAAGATATGTTTATTTGGATAAGTGCCCCCACCAAAGCCTTCCTGATAGAATGGCCACTCTGGACCTCAGAACCTTACCTGTCTATGTAGTGGAACTCCAGGTTCTCTAAAACTCCACTTTGCCCTAAATCTTTACCCTATTTATTTTATTAGAGTAGATTCATTATATCTGCTATATGATTTTTATTTCTAGAGCAAGTAAAAAGATCAGTGAGTCCCACCTGAGCAGAGGGATATTTTGTAAATCATTCATTATAACCACTAAAAATTTCTCAGTTTTTCTTTAGAATTCTAGTTTTTAGCCACAGAATTTCAACTGTATTTTAATTAAACTTTTAAAATTTTGAGATAATTGTGGATTTAAATACATTTGAAAAGACAATGGAGGCAGTTTCTATGTACCCTTACCTAGATTCCTATAAATGTAACATTTTGCAAACTGTAGCAAAATATCACAATGAGGCTATTAACAGTGGTGTGGTCAGTACACAAAATGGTGCCTATGTTACCCTTTTTTTAAAAAAATTTTTTTTAATTTTTTTGAGACAGAGTCTCACTGTGTAGACCAGGCTGGCCTTCATTTATGGCAGTCCTTCTGTCTCAGCCTCCTGAGTGCTGGGATTACAGGTATGCACCACCATGCCGAGAGTGTTACCCTTTTATAGTATCTACTTCTCTCCTTTCCCAGCCCCTCCTTAACTCTTGTTAACCATTAACTGTTATCCATATTATATAATATTGTTATTTGTAGAATGTTATATAAGCGAAACCAAATTGTATGTAAACTTTTGAAATTAGCCTTTTGCGTTTTACTCAGCATAACTCCCTGTGCAGATTCATCTGGGTTGTTCTGTGTATCATGGTTCATTCCTTAGTGCTGAGAACAGTCCAGGGCATGGATGCACTGGGATTTAATGATTCGCCTACTCAAGGGCATGTGACCTTATTACTATTACAAATAGAACTGCATAAAAACTTATGTAGAGGTTTTCATGTGAATTTAAATCTTCATTTTATTTGGGTTAATTTCTAGGAGAGCAAGGACTGGGTTATGTGATAGTTAAGCATTTAGTTTTTAAAGAAACTGCAAAATTGTTTTTTCCAGAGTGGTTTCTACATTTTAAATCTCTACTAGTAATATATGAATAACCCAATTTTCCAGATGCTCCCTGGCGTTAGCTGTTTTCGCTAGTTTTTATGTTAGCCGTTCTGATGGATGTGCATCATTGTGCATGGGTATTCATTGTACATTTCCCTAGTGGCTAATGATTTTGAACTTCTTTTCATGTGGTTGTGTGCCATCTGTATTGTCTATTTTCTAAACATAAATTTTTGAATTGTTTAATTTTGAGTTAATCTAAATACTAGCTAGTATTTTGTGTGGTTTGCCAGGAATTTTTACTTATAGCTTGTCTGTTTATACTCTCAAAAGGTCTTTCAAAGTGCAATGTTTTGATGAAGTCTAATTTCTTGATTTCACCTTCTCTGAATCATACCTTTGGCATTAAGTCTAAGAATTTGGGTCCTGAAGAATATCTATATTTTTTCTGAATATTTTATAGTCTTATGTTTTCTGCTGAAGTCCATGATCTATGTTGAATTAACTTTTTAGAGTCTGAGTTTAAGTGAAGTTTCATTTTTGTTTTGTCTTGTGGATGTCTGATTGTTCCAGTACCATTTGTTGAAAAGGCCATCTTTTGCATTTTTGTCAAAATCAGATGAGGGTATTCATGTGGAGTTTTTACGTGGTTCCACTGATGTGTTTCTTCATTCTCCACTACTCCAGCTATAGACTGATTCCTCTCATTGTATCCTTTCTCAAAACTGTTTTTGCTATTTTAGTGCCTTTATCTAAAAATTTTAGAATAATCTGTGTATGTCTGCAAAAGTCTTACTGAGTTTTGCAAGGAATTGTGCCAAATTGTATATCAATTTGGGAAGAACTGATTCTGTTAGGTGTTGATTTTTCCAAACCATGAGCATTCTGGGTTTCTCTATTTGCTTAATTTCTCTCTCTCTTTCTCTCTCTCTTCTTCCCTCCTTCTCCCTCTTTTCTCTCTCTCTCTTTCTCTCCCTTTCTCTGGCCCTCCATCCTTTCAACTTCCTCCCTCCACACTGCACTATATTCCCAACCTTTTCTAATCATTTGTTGTTGTTGTTGTTTGTTTTTTTGCTTTTGAGACTAGTTCTCACTGAATCACTTCACGGCTGAGGCTCGGCCCAAACTCATGAGAATCCTGTCTGAGCTTCCCAGAGTGCTGAGATTAAAGGTATGCACCACCAAACCTGGCTCATACACGAATCTTTGATTTCTCTTATACATGTTGTATAGTTTTCAGCATACAAACCGTATGCATAGTTTGTAGATTTATAATTATGTAATTTTTGAGAGTTAAAATGGTATTATATTTGTAATTCTGGTGTTCACATGTTCGTTCCATAATACAATTAATTTTGTATGTTTATATTATATTTTGAGGTTGAGAGGAACTTGCTTATTCTAGGAGTTTTTAAAAAATATATAAATTACTTAGGGCAGGGGATATAAGCTCAGTGGCAGAGTGGTTGCCTAGCAGGCCTGAAGGTCCTGGGTTTGATCTATAGCACTGCAAACAAAACAAAACAGAACAAAACAAAATTTTAAAAAAGCATATTAAATATAAATTTTGGGGGATTTTCTGCATAACATTTTTTATAAATGAGGAACACTTTGTTTCTTCCTAACCTGTATACTTCTTATTTCTTGCCATATTGCTGTGATTAAAGCTCCTAGAAAACTGTTAAGAGTGGTGAGAATAAGCTTTAACAAGTTGAGTAAATTTCACTCTATTTCTATTTTTTCTGGTAATTTAAAAAATAATGAATAGGTATTGAATTTTGTCAAGTGGGGTTTTTCCCCCTATGCTAATTAATATGATCATGTACATTTTCTTCTTCTTTTTTTTAAGTGATTCTGTTTTTTTGTTTTGTTTTGTTTTGTTTTTTGAGACAGGGTCTTGCTATATAGTTCAGGCTGGCCTTAAACTCACAGCAATCTTTCTGCCTCAGCTTCTCAAGTGCTGGGATTACATGCCTACACTACTACGCAGGCAGGTTTTCTTCTTCATTAACCTGCTAATATGGGCGATTACATTGATTTTCAAAAATAGTGATATATCCTTGTGTTCCTGAAATAGACTTCTACTAATGGGTATGTAATTCTTTTTCAACTCATTTCTGGATTATATTGCTAATATTTTGTTAGAGATTTTTAAAATCTATAGTTATGAGGGACATACTTGTATATTGTCCCCTTCTTGCTCTGTCTTTGCCTGGTTTTGGTATCAAGACAATAGTAGTTTCTTAAACTAAACAGAATTACTCTTCTATTTGTCTGAAAGAAATTACGTAGAATTGGTGTTAATTCTTCTTTAAATGTTTGATGAAATTCTCCCATGAAACTACCTGGGCCAAGAGATTCCTTTTTTGGGAGTTTAAATTATGAATTCAATTTCCTTAATAGTTACATGACATTCGGATATTCTACTTCATACTGAGTGAGCTATGGTAGGGTGTGTGCACGTGTGCATGTTTTGAGGGATTTATCTATTTCTTATAAATTGTCAAATTTGTGCATTTGTAGTGTTTTCTAGTATCTTTTTGACAGTACTATCACTTTGATGTCAGCAAAATCTTTAGTGATAACCCTTGTTTCATACCTCATGCCAGTGTTTCATGTCTTCTTTATGTTTTTGTTAGTCTTGATTGAGGTTTGAAAAATTTATTGATATCTTTGTAGGCCCAGTTGTTTAACTGATTTTGTCATTTTTCTATTTTCAGTTTCATTAATTTCTGCTTTTATCTTTATTTTACCTTCCTTCTTGTTTTTGGTTATTAGCTTTTCTTTTTACAGGTTATGACAGGAAATTTATTGAGTTGAGACTTCTTTTTTATACATTTAGTTATATATATTTCCATTTCAGTACTGCTTCTGTTGCATCTCAAATTTTTATGCAATGTAGTTTCACTTTTATGCATTTTAATATAGCTTTAATCCCTTTGAAATGATCCTTACCTCATGAATTATTCAGAAGTGTGTTAATTTTCAAGTGTGTGGGTTTTGTTACTGTTACATTTTTGTTATTGTTTCTAGTTTGAGTCCATTGTGGTCAGAGGATATACTTTGTATTGTTTAAATTCTTTCAAATATACTGAGGTTTGTTTTACTTGTATATTTTCCATGCACACTTGAAAAAAATGTGTATTGCACTGTTGTTGGTAGAATGGTTATAGTTTGTCAATTATTATTTATATTCTTTTTGAATTCTTCAATATCCTTGCTTATTTCCCACCTAGTTGTTGAATCAATTTTGATTTATTTCTCTTTTCAGTTTTTGTTTATTCCTGCTTTCAGTTTGCAGTTTTGTAGTTTTATGCATACATATTTAAGGTTGCTGTGTTCTTAGTATATTAATTTTTGAATCATTAAGAAATGCCCCCCCCCTTCTAGGAGTTTTCTATTTAATATTAACATAACTACCCTTTCATTAATGCATGCATGACAGATCTTCTGTAATTTTATTTCAGCCTGCCTGAAATGTCATATTAGAAATGAATTTTTTGTGACTGTGTATTTTTGGGTAATATTTAAAAATCTATTCTGCCAATCGCTGTCTTGTTTTCTTTAGGAAATTTAAATTTAATGTAATTATCGCTATCTTAGGGTTTAAATCTGTTTTTTTTGTTTGTTTCCTTTTGCTCACTGTTTTTGTTTGGCTCTGTTTTTCTTTCTCCTGCCTCCCTTTGTGATATTTCTTTGAATTTTTTTGATTTATCTATAGAGGTTTATTTTTTGTTTTGTGTTTTGAGAAATGTCTCACTATATAGCCCAGGCCAGCCTTGAACTCACTAGATAGTCCAGGCTGACCTGGAACTTCCCGTCCTCTTGCCTCCCCAGTGCTGGGATGACAGGGCTGTGCCACCATGCTTGGCTCTTTAGTGTTTTGAATGTAACCCTTTGAATAGCTTTTGAGATGTTGCTGTACATATTATATTACATATTTATGACATTATAATCTGGTGATTATATCGCCTTATCAGTTTGGGTCAGGTGTAGAAGCTTTACTTTCCTCTACAACTCTTTACCTTCTCACACTTATAATTGCCTTAACTATTTCCTCTACTTATGTTTAGAATCATATCAGGGTTATAATTTGTCCTCCCACAATTAAAAATGATTTTTAAAAACCAATTATATTTATCCGTAGGCTTGCTCACTATATTCTGTCTAATGATCCTTCTTTCATCATTTCCTATTTCTGAGGCAGGCAGTGGATCCACTAAGTGGAACCCCAGCCCCTATTTTTTCATTTATTTCAAGTGTTTTTCTTGAAGGATTTTTACTATGACTATTTAAAAAAAAATCTTTGTTAGAAAATTCCAACATCACTATCACCTCAGCATTTGAAACGACCGGCTGTCTTTACTTCATCTTAACATTTCTTCTTTTCCCTTCTGTTTTCACTGGATATAGAATTTTGACAGTTTCCTTTCTTTTAGTAATTGACGATACTGTGCCCCTTCTAGTCTTCAAGGGTTCTGATGATAAACGGTTACACAGCTGTTTTTCAAGAAAAGTGTCATTCTTCTCTGGTTACTTTCAAGGTTTTTTCTTTTTTAAAACAGTTAAATTTTGTTGTGTCTTGGCATGGATTTCTTTGAGTGCTCCCTATTAGTGTTTTGGTAATTTTTTTGATTGTAGGCTTATGTCTCTTGCCAAATTTTGAAAATTTTAGCCATTATTTATTTATGTTCCCATTGAGACCTAATTCACCTCTCTTCTGAAACTCTGTAACATGAATAAAATATCTTATTTTGTAGGCCGGCAGGTGTCTGAGACTCTGTTCATGTTATTTTTAGTATATTTTCTCTCTGATGTTCAGGTCGGGTAAGTTCTACTTTTTTTTAAAAAAGGTTCTTTCAGTTCACTGCCTCTTTCTGCTATCCTACCAGTTATGCTATTGCGTGCAAGCACTGAGATTTTAAAAGTTGTTACTGTTGTTTTCAGTTAAAATTTTTCATTTTGGTTCATTGTAACATCTCCTCCCAAAAATTTTTTCTAAATCTGTTAGAAAATTCTAGTATCACTATCACTTCAGCATTTGAAATGACTAATTGTCTTTTTAACATTTTTTTTAGATCTTCCTGGTACTTAATAAGATGATTTATTCTGATTTAAATGAGCATTTTTATGTTAGGAGACTCTAGATGTTATTTAAACCTTCCATTTTAGTCCACTTTTTGTGATTCTGCGCCTATAAAAGAAGCAGAGGAATAAGATCTTGCTCCTGCCAGATGAAGTGGAAGTCCAGCACTCCCGCTCAGGCTCTGTGAACACCAGAAAGGAGAGGCTCCTAATTACTGCCAGGCACGCACAGCAATCCCATCTCTTTTTGCACCCTTGCCACACATACATACAGGAGATAGAGCTGTATCCCCGTCTCTGAGTCTTTCTCTAGTCCACAAGAGCAGGGATTTCAACAGCTACATATGCAACTGTGTGTATGTAATTCCCTTACCTCTACCCACCAGCATGGTCACCCATCAGATGATTTTTCTCTACAATTCAGAGTTGGGAATGAGAAATAGTGAAAAGTCAGACTGCTATAGGATGTAAACTTGTGAGCTGTGGAATGCGAAAACTTCTGCAGAGAAGGAAAACCAGAAAGAGCTCTAAGTTTCTTACTCCCTAGTTCTAGTCCTTTGCTGAAGGCTGGCTGAATTCCCCCTCCTCCAGTTTTAATGGATAGCCTCGTATTTTCTTATACTTCTTCCCTCCCTACTTCCTGCTTTTTAATTGAGCTAGCTGGAAGTGTTTTTTTATATTTGTAAACAAAGAGGTCTCAACACAACCTAATATTTATTTACATCTTCAGGATCAGGTCAGACCACAATTAATGTTTTTCTGGGTCCAGAAAATGTAAGGAATCTCTTATGAAAGTAATGACAAGACATCATCACCCAGACCCTTCCCTAGCTCCAGAGTTTCAGTTTCTTGGCCTTTTTGCCTCTGTCTGTTGTGTTCTTATTAGGTTCCTGATTTGTGATTTGATCCCTGGTTTTCCTGGACCTTCCACTGTGATTTGATTGCCCCATAAGAGCCGGTTTACTGTCAGGCGTTGCCTTCTCCAGCATGATGGCTGTCTTACTCCATGACAGACCGTCACCTCATTGCGCTCATTGTGTAACTGTTCCTGATTATACAGTGAAGAAATACGCAGTAATAAATAATTTAGGAAAAGACAGCATCAAGAATGTCATCCACAGCTGATATTTTATGCATAGATAATCATTTTGGGAAATATGTGCTTCTAGTTTTTCTACTTTCAATGTGTTTGAGTGTGTATAATAATGTGCATGTACATATAAATATACTCTTATAAAATAAAACTGTTATTTAGCCTATTTTATTCACTTACATATTATAAATGTCATCCATGTTACTTTTCACTTATAATATTGAATAGCTATATAATATTTCATTTTATAGATGTACCACAGTTTATTTAGGCAATCTTCTGTTGTTGAGCACTTAGATTCTTGTATTTTTTTGACTCCTCTAAACAATACTGAAATGAACATCATTTTACACAAGGGTTTTAGCCCTTATTTATTTTTTTTCCTCTAAGGATCACCTGCTAAAAGTAGAATTTTTTTAGACAAAATGGGTTAGCATGTGTGAGGCCCTGAGTTCAATTCCCAGTACCACAAGTACACACACACACACACACACACACACACACACACACGCACACAATGTATGAATGTGTTCAATTAAAGATTTTTCATTTATATCATTGGATGCCCTCCAGAAACTCTGTACTACTTTTAAGTTCCCACTGTCAGTGAATGGATTTTTCCCTGAAGGAGCAAGAATGGAATTCTATCACTGTTTTAGTTTGCATTCTTTGGATTTTACCAAAATCGTACATTTCTAATGTTTGTTGACCATACTTTTTCTTTTATAATTGCTCATATATACATATTCACACACACATATGTATGTATATATATGTATAGATATATAACTTATATATCTATAACTGTCTAGCACATAGAAAGTACTTTAGAAAAGTTGTTGGTAATGTTAATATTATACTTGTTCTTTTAAGCTTGTTATTATTTTTACTTATATGGGTTTTTTGGGGGGGCCTTAGAGATGGTTTTAGAGATGGTTTTTAAAAGAAATATTGGCTCCTTGGGGCTGGGGATTTAGCTCAGTGGTGCCACTGCCTGCCTCACAGGCATAAAGTCCTGAGTTCAATCCCTGGTACCAAAAAAAGAAAGAAAGAAATATTAGCTCCTTTTGTTTTCTCTGAGTATCAATAAATTGAAGTTACCCAAGTTAATTATTTCTAGTTCCAGTTGCCCACTAGGATTATAAGGTTTAAAAAGTCAGGCTATGGCCATACTATTTACACAGGCTCCATTCATAGATCCAAACAAATATTTTCATGCAAATAATCACTCAAATAAGGCCTTAGTGCTTCAAATGACTCATATTTTCTTATGGCTTTGGACTTTTTTCCCTTTGTCAAATGTGGTGTAGATGACACCATTCTCAAAAGCCTGTTTACCCAGGATTGTTTCTTATAATGAATAAGTATCACTTCCTTATAAAAAGAATGAATTAAATAGTAGAAATGGATTCAGGGTATGGCTCAATGGCAGGGTGCTTGCCTAGCATACACCAAGTCCTGGGTTTGATCTCTAGCACTATGAATAAAAAAAATTTAAAAATTAATACCTAGGAATTATAGAATTATGTTGACTTACTGATGTGAAATTTGGAAGTTGGTTCTTTCTATGCTTCTAGGGCTTTCCACCATAGGGAGAAAATACTGTAACAGTTCTTGAGATTGAACTATTCTTTTATTCCTGTAGATTCTTTTTTCATCATCTGTCCAATTTATGCTAGTTTTCTTTCTTTGGAAAGATGGGCATTCTTTCGCTTTGATTTTTAAGTTGTCATGCAGATCTGGAGAGCAACCACAAAAATATGAGTAGACGCATGAACTGTATTCATTCAACAATTACTTATAAAGCCAAATTATATACAAGAATTTTATCTACAAATCTTTGTACATTTGAAGTTTATATTTTAATGGCACTGGGTTAAAGATAAACAAAAAGTAAAATATACAGTATATATGATAATAAAAAAGTTTATAGAATAAAAGCTGGGAAGGAGAATAGAAAGTTCGTAGGGGAATGGTTGCTTTCCATTTTTCAAAAAGTGTTGCCAAAAGTGGTGGCACACATCTGTTGTCCAACTACCCCGGAGAGGCTGTAGGAAGAATTGTAAGTCTTGGGTCAGTCCAAGCAATTCAGCAAAATGCTGCCTTAAAATTAAACTTTTGAAAAGGGGGCTGAAAATGTAGCCCAGTGCTTGGTGAGTTCATTTCCTATTACCATGGAACAGTAGTAATTAATAATGGTATTAAGAGAAAGCCTCCCTGTGAAGCTAACTTGTCATCTGAGTTAAGGATTAAGTCAAACAAATACGAGGGGAAGAGCACTCTAGACCCGGGAGCAGCAGCAGAGGCTTTCAGTGAGGAGCATGGTGGTGAGCACACGAGGTGGCTTCAGTGGTGGAAGCAGAATACACTCAGAGGAAAGGTAGGAAGCTGAGGTAGGTAACTTGGATTCAGGTCACACGGGGCTGCGTAGGCCCTCCCAAGGCCTATGGCTTCTGCTGCGTGTAAATGGGGAACCACTGGAAGGGTTGAGCACCGTGTGTTAGATCTGAGGTTTGTTTTTAATAAGATGCTTCTGGCTCTAAGTTGAGAACAGAATGAAGAGGGGCAAAAGTAGATGAGCAGGGAAAGCCCTTGGAGGGTACTGAAGCACTTGGGAGAAAGGGTGGTGGTTCGAATCAGGGTACTGAAAGTGGCTGGAAAAGTGAGAAGTTGCTGGGGAGGATTCTTGGATATAGTCTGAGATTTTCTAAAAAAACCGGATGAATCAGTGGTGTTTTCAAAGCTTCTGAGCTGAGGCAATTCAAGCAGTTAGAGGAAAACTGTACAAAGAGCACGTCGGAAATCCCTTTCATTAGATGATACGAAGAATTGTTGTTACTGGTTATAGTAGAGCCTAACATTTGTTTAAAAAGTATTAATTCCACCCTATACTTATGAAGGTGGCTGCTGTGAAAGAAAACAAAACAAGCTCCCAAACCGCAAACAAGAGAAAATAACAAAGATTGGTAAGGATTTAGAGAATTTGGAATCCTTGTGCCCCACTAACAAGAAGGTAAAATGATGCATCACTTCTTGGCCTTTTGGCTAAGATAAGGTGTAAAATGGTGCAGCCACTGTGGAGAGTAGTATAGTGATTTCTCAAAACATTGAGGATGAAATCAGCATAAGTTTTCAAGTGGACTCCAGCACTTCAACTTCAGGACATATGTCTCAAAAACTAAAATCAGGGTCTCACAGAAACATTACTCACAAAAAGTAGAATTAGCCTAAACGTCCATTGACAGAAAGCGGGCAAACAAAGTGTGGTGCATCCACGTGAGGCAATGTGCCTCAGCCTTGGAAGGAAGGGGATACTGATACATGCTGTAACTGATAAACTGTGAGCCCCTTCTGCTAAGTGAAATAAGCTAATAGCAGAAGGGCAAATACCACATTTGCCTTCCAAATATTTCATACCACTTATATGAAATCCATAAAAACAAATGTGAGAAGCTGGGGGCAAGAGGAGTGAGGGGTTGTTTGTTTCACAGGATGAAAAAAGCTCTGGAGATTGCATAGCAGTATGAATGTCCTTAACACTATTGAACTATCCATTTAAAATAGTGACCACAGTAAATTTTATGCTATGCATAATTTAGTATAATTAAAAAAAATCAACAGACTCTGGAAGAAAGAGTAAAAAAAAAAAAAAACCCCAAGTAAAGCCTAAAGAAAGGTAAGTGGTCAGATATTTCAAAAAAGCAGTAAAATGATTTGTCTTATAATGCCTAAATTGCTATGTAACTAGCATAAGAAAAGGTGGATTACACTTAGAACCTAACCAAGAAAACCCTGTATTTTTTTAAGTTTATCTAGTTAGAGATATACATGAAGCTATTTATAAGCAAAATAATATGATTTGTGGGATTTGCTTAAAAATGCTCCAGGAAGTAAAGTAGCAGAAAAATCATGGAGCCAGAATAGCAGGACACTGATAAGATAGGGTGATGGGCATCAGTGGGTTCATTATTCTATACTCTACTTTATGCTTTAAAATTTCCACAAATTTTTTTTAAAGGAACTGTCCCTTCTTAAAAGGAAAGTAAGAAGACTAAAGTGCTCCTTGAATTAAGCTGAATTGGGAAAACAATGAGCAGGAATATGTCTGATTACAAACCTGGTAATGCTGGCAAATGAAATAAACTTGTCCACAGTGTCTTGAGAAGCCCTTCCTACTCCATTCAACAGACATGCCCTGGACACCTATCAGACACCATAGTTTGGTAAATAGATATGAAAAACACAGTCCTTGCTTTCAGTTAGCTAAAAGTCAGGACAAGAGAGAAATAGGCTAAGTGTCAGTTAGACTCTATTTCTATTGAGATCAGCCAGAGAACTTAAACTCAGACTGTAGAAGGGGAATTTCTAGGCCGATTTATGTGTGGAAGCAGAGGGTAGGGATGAGGAAAGCTTCATGAAGCCTGCACAGTCAGAGTCCTGGTGAGTAAGTATGGTGGAAAATGACTAATACATCAGGCAAGTGTGAAGAAATGGTTTAAAAGTAGAGACCTTGTTTGTAGTAATACTTTAAAGCTAAAGTGATTCTCCCAGATAAGATTGGTTTGGGATGGGTACATGCATAATAAATGTGTTCTGAATTGAACTGCTAGGGGACCATTGAAAAAGTTTTGCAAGGGAATGATATAATCAGATCTGCACTGTTGAGTGATCACAATGACAGCCAAGAGGATGGCAAACTAAAGAAGAGTAAGACATGAGGCAGGGAGATGTGAGGGGACTAAGGCAGCAGTTCAAGGGAGGCAAAAAAGGTCTGACCAAAAGCAGTGTCATCCTGGCGGAATGAGCAGATTCGGAGTCTTTGAGCAGAGCATATAAAGCTTCATGTTGGTGGATCCCAAGAACAGGGAGGGAGACAGGGTAAGGCTTGGGTTACTCCTTAGATAACTGGATGATGGCAGTGCACTCAATGAAACATAAAATGCAAGGGAAGAAACTGACTTGGGCAAATTGAATAGAGAGCCTGTGGGAAAAACAAACGGAGAAGTCCAGTAGGCAGACAAGTGTGGAATTCAGGAGAGGCCTAGATTGGAGATTTAGCAATATGACGATCAGGTGTGGAAGCTACAGGCATTAGATGACAGTGATCAAAAATAAAATATGTGGCAAGAGGAGAGACAAAAGACAGATACTTAAAATTTAAGTGGCGATGATGTTCTCTGCAGGCCCCTTTTCACACATCTTATCAAGGTTCATTACATGTTTCATGAATAGCCAAAGAAACAGGAGTAAAACAAGGAGAATAGTGCCATGGATATGTTTGTTGGACAGCTCAACAAATGGAGGGGGCGGATTAAGAGGCACTGGCAATAATCAACAGTAGAGAAAACAAGTCTAATAAGGGCCAATGGCTTTGGAAATAATAATTTCGTAAGTGTGTTTGGTGATCGCAGAAGCCAGATTGCACTAGTTTGTTGAAGTGCACAGGGGAGGAAGTGATGTAGTGATTACTGACTATACTTTGGGGAAGGTGAGAAGAGGGATGGAATTAGAATTTTGTCACTGGAAAAAAAAAGAATTATGTCACTGAAAAAATTGATGGGTGTGGGATCCAGAGTGCTACAGGAAGAATTGGTCCTAAACAAAGGGACATTTATTTATCTGAAGCAAGAAGGAAGGATGATTGTTTACATTTATTCATGGTGGAGAAGCAGGCAAGAAACTGAGGACGTTTCTGACAGATGGCTTCTGGTGTGTGTGTGTGTGTGTGTGACTACATTTGTGTGAAGTAAGAAGTAAAGTTACCTCCTAAGAGCTGAGGGCTTTGTATTTCAGGATGGGAGTAGAGGAGGCTAGTCACTCATCCAGAGTTAGAGTTGTTTAGTCTGGGCTCAGTAAACGAACAGGAAGGCAAAAAGTTTTAAAGACATTGATAAGAACATGATTAGAGTGAGAAGGAAATTAAACCACAAGGAATGCAGAAAATGTGCTAGTGATTTGGATAAGGCTGTGAGAGCTGGAATGTAAATTGTACTCTTTAAATTTAGAGTTGGATCAATGGAATTTTCCTATCTGCCTTGCTGTGTTTATTCATACATGTTCAGATTCCAATTTCCAGATGCAACTACAGCTTATGCCATCCTCAGTCTCCTGTTGAGATAGAAAATGAAAAAAGAGGAAACTGTCTACTGTGAGATAACAGTAGGGATTATGTGTTTCTATATGCTAGGCATTTCTGTTAAACATAGTGCAGATGGATCAGATAAAACTCCTATGGGTGATTAAAAAAAATCTTTCGGGGCCGGGGATTTAGCTCAGTGGTTCTGCTGCCTGCCTTTCAAGCACAAGGGCCCAAGTTTGATCCCTGGTACCAAAAACAAAACAAAACAAACTCTTTCCTGTGAAAAAGCAGCATGCCTATTAAGAAAATGAAAGGACCCCAGAAGAAATCTGCAAACATTAACTCATAAGGGTGAGGGCTTGGGGCAAAAACAGAGCACTGTTGTGGGTGTACACTTACGGATTTCGTTTTTTAAAATTTCAATATCTCCCAACAAAGATAATAGTGTAAGAATCTCTCTCTCTTAAATCCACCCCCTGGCTTCAATAAGTCTCTTTTTGCTGCTAGGATTGATCAATATTTAGAATCTGTCGATGGCACTAGAAGAAATGTTTATGTGTAGATAATAAAAGCAGAAATACTGTACTGGTAAAGCATGTCTTCAAAAGAGAGATGGAACGCTGGGACTTCCTTCTGGGTGCTCGTCTGGGTAAGTAAAGC